TAAGATTTGATATAATCTCTTTCCTTATCCTAAGATTTGACTTGGTGGACAAGAAATATTAACTTTATTAATTAAATATCTTATTTATCATGGACTTATGTCCAAAAATTAATAAAGACATTAATTAATAAAATATTAAAATTTCGATGTCTACAAATGCCCCCTTGAGACTTGTTCACGAACAAAATATCTTGGTAGTGAATGAGTCTCAAAATTTTGAATTTGGTTTGGACATGCAGATAGTTTAAACTCTTATCAAGAAGTTTTCGACTTGAATTTGTAGATAGTTTAAACTCGTATCAAGGAGTCTTGATTTGATTTGATTTGTAGATAGTTTAAACTCGTGTCAAGGAGTTCTTCATTTGACTTAATTTGAAGATAGTTTATACTCGTATCAAGAGTTCTTGATATGTAGACCTTTTATTCTCGTGTCAATGAGATCTTGATATGTAGACATTTTATGCTCGTGTCAAGGAGCCTTCAAGATTGATATGTAGACGTTTTATGCTCGTGTCAAGGAGCCTTCAATATTATACTTGCAGACCTTTTATTCTCGTATCAAGGAGATCTTTATTTTTGTAGACATTTTATGCTCGTATCAAAGAGCCTTCAAATTTGTAGACATTTTATGCTCGTGTCAAGGAGCCTTCAAATTTTACATGTAGACCGTTTATTCTCGTGTCAAGGAGATCTTGATATGTAGACATTTTATGCTCGTGTCAAGGATCCACATAAATAGTTTAGGCTCATATCAAGGAGCATATGTAGATAGTTTAACCTCGTATCAAGGAGCATATGAATTTGAGACTTGGTAGATAGTTTATACTCATATCAAGGAGTTCTTCATTTGGCTTGATTTGTAGACAGTTTATACTCGTATCAAGGAGTCTTTAATTTGGCCTGATATGTAGATAGTTTAGGCTCGTATCAAGGAGCATTTGAATATGTAGATAGTTTAGGCTCGTATCAAGGAACATTTGAATATGTAGATAGTTTATGCTCATATCAAGGAGCATTTGAATATGTAGATAGTTTAAGCTCGTATCAAGGAGCATTGGAATATGTAGATAGTTTAGTCTCATATC